CCGCTACCGACGGGCCGACACCCGCAGCCGTCGTACATACGTCCATCATCCATCCAATCCAGGAGATCTTGCGGGGCACGCCCATCCTCCAGTGGGGGAAAGACAGTAAGAAAAAGAAAGGAAAGCAAAGACAGAAAGAAAAGAAAGGAAAGGATGGCTACACGACATCCAGATGAGACTGAAATCACCAACATCGACATGCTCGAGAGGGAATCTTCCAAACCCCTTAATATAGATATTATGATATACTTATTATTATAATCATAATCATAGTAAATAGTTGAAATAAAAGAGATCAATAAATAAATAATAAAAAAACATCTCCACCAACCATCCCACTAGCAACCGCCCAGCGCCACTAACAGGAGCGGACCGTGTTAGCTCGACGGTTGATGGACAACGGACCACCGTGGAATGGAATCATCATCTGGTCCAGGTCGGACGAAGATGCGCTTGCAATGCTGACTGGGGGTATTCACTTCCGGTTGGTTCTTTCCATTCAAGTGGAGAGAACTAACTGTCGTCCAAACCCCGTTGTCAATCTTTTCTTCTTTCCCTGTGACGGAGTGGGCCGAATTGGATGATTCTTCAATTCTGGTCAGTAGACGGAACTGACTCATGGAGATTCCGACCAACGTCTTGCATAGGGTAAACTAAAAGAAGGGAAAGGAGGGAAGAAAGAAAAGTAGTCGGAGAAAGAGAATGTACCTGCATCATCGTATCGGGTCCTGCAGCACATCTCCCGAGGATTTAATCTCCTTGACTCCGGTATTCTCCTCCCCGGTATCATCACCACCACGAGAACAACCGTAATCATAGAAATACTCACGATAATAATAGTGATGATAAGATGAGATAAATACACGAGAAACCGGGCGTGTTGTGCAACCCGCCCGCATCTCCCGCTGGAACCATGTGCGACATTGACAATTTTCCGGCCTCATTCCTCCCCTCACACTCTCTTTTCTCTCCCCCTCTCTCCACTCCTGACGGTCTGGATGGAAAGATGGTCAGGAGTTTGTTTTGTGAGACTCTACCAGCGAGCTGCAGTCCCACCTGGAATCATCCATCAAAAACACTCAACAAACAAAATAAGACATGCGATGAGAACCTCAATATCCAGGAACTGATCCGACGCTAAACCCCAGCTGAAACGCCAATCTGCTGTCCACCGCATGCGAACCCATCCGTGTTTGGTTCTTCCTGTCGCCCCTTGTTGTCTAATAAAGAAGTCAACTTCTTAATGCATATCCAAAGAACGAACCTCGTACCGATTCTCGCCCGTTCCATCCTGGTAGGGGACAGGGGTGGGGGGTAGACTGGATTCTTGCTAAGGGCGACAAAAAGCCAGCTTACCTAGGATGTGGAAGCATCGTGGACCAATGGAGTCAGAGAGAGTGGGGAGGAAAACAGGACTACCAAGTTAGTCGCCCGTGATAGTCAGGCCCCCCCTCTCTTTCTCTAACCCCCCGTCAGCGCCTCTCGGATTCAGTGCCAAATCATCATCCGTGGAGGGTGACGGACAGAGGATCTCTGATGAATGGCTAGAGCTGCACGCAGGTCATTAACCTTACATTGCAGGTTCCGTCGTTACCCCGTGCATCGAGATCGACTGCACGATCGGACGGGCCTCTAGGCTCTAGGATGGTGGATGGTGGTCTTTCCGTTTTGAGATAGCGGATGGCATCATCACTACTCAAGACGTTAATATTAGTATCTTACTGGCTATTTGCTAGACTGTGCTAATCTCGGGATAGTCCGTGTCTGTCATTCTGGTTCGACATTGGAAAAGGAAGGAGTCTCTTTCACGATCATAGGCGCTTATCCAGACAATGTGATGATAAAGTCGACAGGACAGAAGAGGAATCCCGTATGGAACATCCCAATCTGGAGAAATAGCAGAAGACTCAACAATCACTAGTCGGATCACGGACCTCTGCCACCCAGCACAGGGAACCCAGTCTTCGACCTCTCTCGACCTCTCTTCCCAACTCTCATCCTTGAAATAATCCTACTCATTGGTGGACGAAGTGGAGGGGGGGGGGGGTGGAAGGTGAGGAGGAGGAAGAAGAAGAGGAGGAGGGGGATGGATCCATGATGGATCGACTGGCGGTGGGAACGACCACGTAGTCACCAACCGGGGCCGCCCTGTTTCTTCTTCCTCTCTTTCTTCCTTTCTTTTCCTTGTCTCTTTTTTTTTTATTTCTCTCCTTTTCTATTTCTCACTCTATCCAGTTAAAGGTAAGGTAGAGATATCTCATTACGTATTCTCTCGTTGGAAATTACACGGCTCAACTGAGGAGCCTCCCATCGTTTCTCCAACATGATCGATAGATAGACAAACGGTCTGACCGCAACAACCTCAGATGGCTTGACGGGATGCGACTAAGTTTCAGCTGCAGCGTCCCGTGGTGCATATGCGAGGATCTTCTGGTCATAATTCTTGATTATTCCATTTATTACTATTATTATCAGCAGTAGTAATTTACCTGATTCTCCCCATTCGAATCCCTAACTATAATCCTCTGATTATAACCACAATACGATCCTCATAACACATCAACACTATTAGCTATACGACGGCAATATCAAAAAAGCATAGTGGAGATGGACGGAGATGATCGCCATGTAGCGACGCGCGGTTCACCCGTCGGTCTGATCGAGGATGGAACTATCGTATAGTATGTACCTATGTATGTACGTTCATCGCTTATTCTGCATGCTGTAGGCGTACGGCGCTCGGCGTCCGCCTCCTCTGGATGTATGTATGTACGTAGATACAAATATATGCACCTCTAGACGTGCAGAACAATAGTATCAGCAGCTCTCCTGCACCTATGCTTCATCTGCTCGCTCGATCGGTACGGAGTACATGTTGTCTCTGTCTCATGTGGATAAGGTATCTCATTAATTAATCAAACCGATATCACCGCCTCGTTTTTCTCGGCTGTTTGATGGAAGGACCGTTGAGTGGCGACGGGCAATGATAACGTTCTCCTCGCCAGGAAAGTTCCCTGAAATGAAGATCACCGTAAATGATTTAATCAAATCAATTTTGACGAAAAAAAAGAATCGATCAACCCTCGCGTCCTGTCTTCCTCCCTTCCTACTGACCGCTCCCTCGCCCAGCCTCAGCTCAGCCTGCCTCAGCCAGCCAGCCCCAACACTACTTCCGACCTTCCGTCCTATCTGCCTTTCTGTGGTGAACGATAGATTCGCTTCGGTGGGGAGGTAGTACGGCGTGGGGGCTTGTCTGACGCTGGTTTCTCCTTACTTATTGCCTGCCAATCTGTCTGCCTATCTTCTTCGATCTTTTTGGATTTCCGAGGGGAGGGGAGGGGAGGAGATGGAAGGCTTACCTTGGGCTGAGGGGGTTGGATGACGGATGATGGATGATGGATGGATGGATGGATTGGATGGAAATATCTCATTTGTGAAACGGTCAATCCTGCTTTATATCTCCAAGTACCGTGATACCTACCTCCTAGGTAGACAGACAACGTACCATCCTTGGGAAATCTTTCACCTCATCTCGTCTCTCATTCTACTCTAACCGCAATAGTGTAATAGTGTACCTAATAGTGTGCAGTGCCTAATAGTGTAGCAGTGATAGTAAAGAAGTAGCATTCTTCACAATCGCCACACATCTACCACCCCCATGTCTCTGTAATTGTGATTGTGACACTCTCAATCTTTCAACGATGCCCTTCTTCGAATTTTGTGTTGTGCAATCTATGGCATAATTATTGGATGGGTGGTGGATGGCGGATGGAAGGTACACACGGCACGGTATTTCGTGTGGTCGAGTAACGTTCTGTTTTTTTTTTTTTTTTTTTATCATTCCATGTGTATTATATATAGAGTATATATGTATGCGTATGTGGATGTGTATACGTCAAGGTGTGTACATGTCTAGATTGTGTGGATGACTTGGTGATATATATTATGTAGTGCCCCAATATCTACTAGAGTATACAGAAGAAATACAAGACTGTAGGATATATACCTTCATATATCCAAATACCACACAATATCTGCAAAAAGCTATGTATGACCAGCCCAATCAATCAACCAAGATTCAACCCCATCAAATCACTCCTTCCTCCCTCCCAAATCCACGCCCACGCCCATGTCTATCCTATCCTAAATCCCCAAATATGATCATATCTACATGATAACATGACACCAAAGATAAATGACATGATATGAAACGAAATATGCAAAGAAAGAAGAAGGAAAAATCTATGCGTTCCGCTTCGCAGCCTGCGTGAATATCTGCTGCCAGATGTCGATCCACTGCCGCTGTTTATAAGATAGCACCTTGTGCGGATCGCGGAACGTCCCGGCTAGGATCTCGCGGATGCGCGCGCTGAGAACTTTCAGTGCGAGCATGGACTTCCAGTCTCGTACCGAGAAGCGAATTCGGTTTGCGTCGATGGAGATTACGCCTGAGTACATCTATATGGTGTTAGAACCATCCCATCGTTTGAAAAGGTGATTATATTTGAGGGAGGGGGACAAACCTTGAATTCAACCTCCCCACACAGCAAAGCAATGGCGAAATCGTCTACCGCGCTCGTCTCAAACGCGTTGTAGTTCCGGTTTCGCCCCTGCATGATGTGGTAGTATGATAGCCACTTCAGCGATGAGTCCGACTGCTTGTTCACCGACGTCGGGTGCAGTGTCACTGTTTGGTTGTTCGACACGTTGCGCCAGCCCCTGCCCTCGCGCGTGAGCAGCTTCGGGTAGAAGCTCCAGGCGATTACCGAGTTGACGATCGTGTCGTTTGCGCTGTTCACGTCGTACTCCTCTGGGATGGTGAAGAATTGGCGTTGTCGGCCGCCGTATCGTGATCTGATCCTGTCAGTTAGCACTGTCTATATCAGTGGGTGGTTGAGATCAACTGACCTGTTCAAAGTAGCCTTCTGGCTTGCGTCGAGCTTCAGTAGTCCTGCGTCTGCGATGGAAACGACGAGCTGCATCTTGATGTCTTCGATGTTCAACAGCGTCTGCGAGTTGAGGAAGCTCTTGCGGCAGAAGGAGTACTCGTTCCCTCCGGCCATGCTCCGGATGCGTTTCCACACGCAGTATGCGTTGTACACCGTGAGCAGGTCGGAGTCGCCCCGGCGGAAGGAAAGCCGTGCAAGGTCCTTCTGCGAGTTGGAGCCCATGGTGTTGACGAACGGGGACTTGGAAGAGAGGATGGCGGCAATGCTCAGCGATGCGTCCAGGCACTTGAAAAACGCCCCGTGCACGATCAACTTCCCGAGGAAGACGTCCAGGGGCAATTTAGCAAGCTGCGATCCCAATGGGGTCAGGTTCTCCCCATTGGTCAACGCTTTCACTTCCTTCAACGCATCAATCGCCCGGCGGATGTTCTTCGACGACGGTGGGTCCAGAGCTTCAAGAAGCGTCTGTTCAACGTCTCCGAGTTTGCAGATCTTGACGCGGAGGACCAGATCCTGGAGAGACAGCCGGAGCATTTCGGGAGTTTGTTGTTCAGGAAGCTGTGGAAGTCAGCGTTATATACCAACAAGTTCGGTGAAAAGCACGTACCACCCTGTCATGCCTGTGACGAGTAAACAGGTGGAAGCAGATTCCGTTCTGAACACGCCCGGCTCGTCCACGCCGTTGCTTCGCGTTGGCCCGCGAGATGAACGCCTCAACCAACCGTGACAACTGCCGCCTCTCATCAAACCTGATCCCATGTTAGCGGTGTCCATAGGAACATATTGTATTGTAAATTACCGCATAGTCTTCTCTTTGCCGGTATCGATAACGGCAGTGATGTCGGGAATGGTAATACCTAACTTGGTCAGCGAGATGAAATCCCATGGCCATAAAAATACATACCAGTTTCGGCGATGTTCGTGGCAATCACAATCTTCCGAGTGCCTTCAGGCGGCACATTAAAGGCCTTCTCCTGGTCCTCGCTAGCAATTGAGGAATGCAAAGCATGTATGATCCAGTTTTTTTGGAAGGTTGGCTCCCCAAGCAAATCGTCGTTGAGCCGGCGAATTTCCGCCATGCCGGGCATGAACACCAGGATGGCTTTGCTGTAATGAGTCATTTCAGGCGCAGTAGCGATCTTGATCAACAGTCGCTTGATCAATTGGTAGTCCATGCGGTACTCGTCGAAATTCAAGACCGTCTCCCGGGTCTGCTTGGAATATCCTTCGAGCGTTGCCAGTGCGCCACCCGTCTGGTCTCCCTGGACGTTTTCCGGCGTCATCTCGTCAACCTCGTCATCGAAAGTGGTGTTGGCTTCCTCTTCCGACAAACGATAGTTGGTCATTTCGATGGCATCCTCCAAGTATTTCATCTCGACCGGGAATGTCCGTCCCGGGATGTTCAGCACAGGAACACCGCCAAGGTAAGTCGAGAAGCGCTGGGCGTCGAGAGTGGCGGACATGAGAATCAACTTCAAATCAGGCCTCTTCTGCATCAACCGCCGGAGGACAACGAGCAAGAAATCGCTGTCGATGGTCCGCTCGTGTACCTCATCGAGAACCACATGGGTAATGTCTAGGAAATCATCAGGCCGCTCTAACATTCTCACTACCACTCCGGTCGTTCTGTCGCACGTTAGTCGAGTGCGTTTGGAAATGGCTCAGGAAAACTTACGCATATACCAGCCGTGTGGATTGGCTGACCTTGCTCTCCAGCCGGACCGCAAATCCAATGAAAGACCGGACCGTCCCCACGTCATTCTTGCTCTCCCCCAACTCCTCACTGACTCGGCGAGCCAACGAAATGGCCGAGATCCTCCGTGGCTCGGTAACATAGATCTTGCACGGACGACCCTGTTGCATCTCGTGCTCGAGGATGAAAGACGGAATCTGCGTACTCTTTCCGCTTCCCGTCTCACTGCAAATGATCAGCGCGTGGTGGGTGTCTAGCATATGCACAATCTCGTCCTTGAAGCTCCAGATCGGAAGATTCATTCTGCCCTGAATCATGAGCTGGAACGAATGAGTCGATGCTTTATCATCCCAGATCTTCTTCAACAGCGGATCGAAACCAGCGTTTTCTTTGCTGGTCGCTCTTACTGGGGACTGGCCCTTTCTAGGGGTTCCATTCCTCTTTCGGAAGTTAGCCGCCAGCACGACATCGTCTTCGAATGCCCCATGGTTCTCCTGTACAAGCCCTTTCAACGTTCGAATCGTGGTCTTGTCCGCCTCGTCCTCCTGTGTCTTCTTCGCGGTGGAGAACTCGGACCAGAGATCCCGCCATACCGCCGGAATGCGCAGGTATGCCTTGCCTTCTTTGGAGCTTTGGGGAAACAGGACGAACAAAGCAAGCGTCGAGACGAACGACTCTGCTTGCTGGGAAGTCGGTGTTGCAATAGAATCCATGGAGACAAAGGTGGCGTATGAGTTCGAGTTGACTGTTGTCGTGTCCCAGACGAAGGGGAAAGGTAGATCCTGCGGTTTCGACCATCTTACTTCGACCGCCATCCGGTTCAGATGCGATGACGAAGAAAAGTCTTTGTAGATGATTTTGCACCCGGTGTCCCTGGGTTCGTGTACTTGTCAGCCTGTTCTACCTGGGAGAAGAAGGGCCAGATCCCTAACCTTGCCTTGCATGTCTCCTCCAGAACACGTCGAGGACTAAGACCAGTCCACTTGCCAAAATCACGCGATGTGACAGCGGCCTTGTTTAGTTCTTCTGTAATCACACCAAGTTCCAACACTGGTTCCTCCTCCCCTTGAAACATGTCGCCCAGGAGATCCCCAGCTGCCTCGTTATCCTCCGCTGCCGGTGATGCATTGCCCGGTTCGACAACGTTCTCATCCTTCTGCTCGTTGGTCTCGGTTTCTTTGGGGGTATTCTTTGCCTCGGGGGCAGCGCGCCGGAGGAACGACGCCTCCTTCCTGAGATCGTCGAGCTTCTCCTGCCACCGATAATCCGCCTCCGCACGGTCAAACAGTACGTCGTTCAAGATGCTTGCGATTTGGCGCTGGATGCTGGCTATTTGAGGGTCGTCCGCACCCGCCCCAAGGCTTCCTGGAGCCCCCTTCTTCCCTTTCTTCGGCTTGTCGAAGACCTCCGGTCGAAGATTATATAGTCGAGTCTGTAACTCTAAGTACTTCGGGAGCAGAGTGTCCGGATCGAGGGAGACATCCGACTCGTAAGGATCAGAAGGAGGTGGCAACTTCACGTCGTCTTTTGGCTTTGACGGTTTCCCGCTGTTTTGGGACGGTTTCGGCGCGGAGGTCTTTTCTTGCTCACGGTCTAAAGGGTTAGCTCATAATTTTCCACAAGAAGCCATCAGTGAATGCTTACCGGCGATCCAGGAGATGTTCCTGTCGGCGTCACTGCGCGATTGGGAATTCGCCTGCGTATAGGACGGTAGTTCACGGGGCTCACAGTGCATGGCGAGCCAATCCAGAGCTTCGTCGAAATTGCAAACCATTTCCCGGTTTGTCGAGATGAAGTTATTGGAATAGTACTGCAGGAGATGTTTCAACGCCTCTTCGACCTTCTCCTGGGGAAACCCAAGCCTGAGGAGCGTCGACCTCAAGCTCCACAACCTCATATACAGCTCCTCTTCCGACACGGGCTTCTTCGTAGCATTCGAATCGCGTCCCGACCCCGGACTGAGCTCGGACTCTTCCATCTCGGCCAGTCGAAGGACGGAACTCACAATATCCGCCGGGAGCCACTCCAACAGATTCAATGGAACCGCCTGTTGACGGAAAATCCGCCGTTCGGTCTCCACCTTGGTGACCTGTCGAGCGGCATCATTTTTACACTTCGATGCATATTTCTCCACCAAGATTTGCAGCTCCGCGTCCTCCAAATGTTTCTCCAGCTCCTCGGGCGAGTAGTTCTGCAGCGAGTGACCCTCTGGTTTCTTCTCCGCCACCGATTGCGTTGCTTCTGCGGGGGTCGGACGATCACTCTCGGAGACTGATTTCGACTCTGCGGTCGACGTCGGGGCGGTCGACTCGGTCGGCGTCGACTTGGGCTTCGACGGAATCGAGACCGTAGCAAAGCCTCGAGCCGGATTGGCGGCGGGCTTCTTCTTCTTCTTGTTATTCGGGGGCATGGCTTGTCGGAGAAGGCCTGATTCGTCCCAAAGGCGGGGAAAAAGAGAGAGAATCGGAGAAAATCCAATGACTTCCTCAACCACCGGAATCAAGCGATGAAAATCCCGGAATGACACAAACGAAGGACGGTCGAGGAGAGATGAATGGAAAACACAAGAATCGGTGGTGCAGAGGGAGGTTCGCCATGGGTACAGGGTCCAAGACCTTGAATCAAATTGCGAGATGACTTGGACGGAGGAGGGGAAAGGACAAGACCACACAAAAGGCGGGAGCTTCTTCTGGCCTTAGGTTCCCCACAACCCGCCCGGCGAAAACTTTTATGACAACATCAGGTCAACCAAACCCAATCGAGTCAACCTCCTCTCATTCCTTTCCCTTCGTTTTTGTCTTGCGCCCGACATGCTCCTGTCCTGGACATAATGATGGACGATATACCATGGGATCAGGTACTATCCGGAGACCTGGAGAGTCTACGTCTCGTGATCTTCTCGAGTTCCACTGCTCGTAGAACGTTGGCTCTTCAGGAACTCCGCGAGCGAATCGGTCAGTGCCAACCCCTCTCCCCGCTAGAGCCCAAGATGAAGGACCCTATATGCTGACTGCTCTGTGGTGGATAGGTGCTGAATTATCCCCCGAACTACGCGGATCCCTGATTGCGATTTTATTCAAGACATATCCGCTTTACATCGACCGACCCTCTCGTCATGCCGTCCAACAGTGTCTCCGCCTGCTGCTTCAGGGCCCCATTCCGACTGACGAGCTCAAACACCTCACCCAAAATCTACAGGCTGAAGCCGCCAAACCGGGCCTAGCGTCGACCTCGGCCTTTGTCCTACTCGAATGGTGCTCGGTCCTGTTGCAGATCCTCCGGGATGACTTTGGAATCCCGCTTGCGACGATCCTGGACTTGATCGCCGTGGATGCGAAGGCGCTGGAAACCTGCCTGGGAGCCGGTCCTAAGCCCGCGTTGCGGCAATCGGCACTGAGGGTGACTAGACGTGCCTTGCGGGCGGTCTTCTCGTCGAACGTTTGGGGGGAGGATGCGATTCGCCAGTCCGTCCAACGGTTGACCAGCGACGCGGCCACGGGCCAGAAAAACGCACCGTTCCTTGGTGTCATCTCTGGGGTCAGCGCCCGTCTTCCGGCTAGGAAGCCCGTTCTGGAGGGGGAAAAGAAGGCCATCATCTCCTTCTACATCAAGGAGCTGGTGGGGTCGAAGTCCGCGCCGCCATCGCATATCGCCAATGCCCTCACCGATTTCTTCGAGTCGTTCGTTACTTATGAGGATATCACGTCGGAAATCATCCCGCCCCTTGAGAAATCGATCTTGCGGTCCCCGGAGGTGGTCTTGAGTGGACTAGTCCCGTCGCTATGCGCCTCGCTGCCCGAGAGTATCGACTTGTCTGAAATTCTGCACACTCGCCTGTTGAAGCACCTGTTGTCGAGCATGAAGTCGAACAACCCCGCCATCAGACAAGGCGCCATCCAATCGTTCGAATCGCTTCTCGCAAAGTCCAAGGTCGAGAGCCTGCTTCTCAAGATCACAACCGAGGTGATCGGTCCGCTGAAGACCCAGAAGATTACGAATCCGGAGCAGCGAGCGATATATGCACAAGCGCTGTCCGCCATCTCCCCGTCGGTTGACCTTTCCAAGGAGGTAGTCCAAGGGTTTGTCCCGGTGTTCGCAAAGGAATCTAATGAAGCCACCTTAGAGCAGGAGATTAAATCATTCTGCAAGCACCTTGGATTCCTCATCCAGTCCAAGGTGAAGGCGAGCGATGATGTCGTCAGTGCCATTGTCAAGGGTTCGGCTGATAAACGGGTCCCATTCCGCAAGTTGTGGCAGCTCAATGTCGGAGAGACGCTGTGGGATGCCGGTCCTGCCGCCTGGGGCCAGCCCGAGGTGGAGCCTCTTGTCACCAAATTTCTTGCCAAGATGAAGGAACTGTTCAACGAGGTCTTCGCTAACCCGCTACCATCAGCCCAGGGGGGTTCCTTGTCGACGGCGTACGTGTATCTGGCCCTGACGGAACGCGGATCCGCGCTGGCGGGCTTTGATAAGGCTGCCTGGGAGGACTTGGTTTCCCGGTCCATGGCCCTAAGCCCGAAGCCGTCTTTCCTTCTGAACCCGAAGGCTTACACAAAGTTGACCTCCCAGGTAGAGATCCAGTGGGTTGTCAGGGCACTTGCCGCCGTAGCAGCCGGGTCGAAATTTGGAAGTGCGGAGGATTCCACGAAGATTGCTTGGGGTCAGGCGTTCATTTATGCTCTCACTGTCCCGGGGCTCCACACGAACTTCCGGGACGAATCAGCGCGTACACTATCTGATGTGCATAAGAGCAATATAGAAGACATAAGCCATATCATCGTTGATGCTCTGTGGGCTTGGATTCTCTCCGCCAGGACTGGAGAGAGGGAGTCGGCCCCTGTTTCTGCGGGGCCAGGGAGTGAGAAATACCTCAACTTGGTCGCAAAGGCGATCTGCCCCCCTGCGCCTAGCCTATCGACCTCGGAGAATGCCATCGCCGTCTTGAAGCACCAGCTGGTTCGACTCCTTGTCCTCTGCCGGCCGGAGCTGATCCCCAATGCATCCTGGATTTCCTTATGTCTGAGGACCGGCACGGACCCGGGCGACCTTGTCCGTGAGCTCGCCGAGGAATGTATGAAGCAACTGACCGGGTCACAAGAAGACTCCGTCCAGAGCAAGGTGCCTCAGATCGATGCCGCGCTATGGGGTGCGGCTGGCGATCTAGCATTTGTGGCGCCGGACACGATGGTTCCTCGCCTTGTTTCTCAGATCAGGGAAGACCTGGATGCTTCGCGTCTGTCCAACTTCTCTGCGACCGATGTGGCGATTGCCCGTACTCCCGAGGGGACCATGTTCGTCGATGTCCTAAGCACCAAGTCGAGCAAGTCTACCTTTGACAAGAACACCAAGGACTACGATATCCTCAAGTGGGAGGAAGAGCTGCGAGCGCAGTTGGCCCAGAAGAAGGGTCAGACGCAGAAGAAACTCAGTCCTGAAGACCAAGGTAAAGTGAAGGCCCAGCTCGCTAAAGAGTCCAAGATCCGCGAGGAGGTCCTGCAGGAGGTTAAACGGATCGAACGGGGTACTGGAATCATCCAGGGTCTCGCCAATGGACCGGCGCTTGATGCCGATGGTTGGATCAGCCCTGCGGTCAATTCTCTGCTGTCTCTGGTTCAGGCCGGTGCAGGCTTACTGGTGGGAGACGCTGTGTCCAAAGCGTACATCAAGTGTGCTGAAAAGCTGTCCACCCGCCTGGGTCCCTTGCGATCTTGGGTCGGGATTGCGACTTTACGTGGAATTGGCAAAACCCAGCTGCCGCGTGAAATGGAGCTGGAGCCTCTTGGGGGTGAGTGTTGCCATGCATTCATCAACGGCCACCTGCTAACTCTCGCACAGAACTGCTGACAAGGATCCTTTACCGTCTTCGTTTCGCTTCCGAGCAACGTCCCCTTGATCTGGCCTCGCTAGCCTACGCTCTTCCCCTGCTTTTCCTGATCCTAGAACG